CTCACCTTTCCTGCCTCACTCACCTTTCCTGCCTTATTCTAGTGCATTAGATTCCAGCAGCAGCACTTTGCAATTCATGATGGCAGGACTCTGCTCTGAGAGCCTCTTAGCATGGCAAGCTAGAGCTTCTCTTCTTTCTCTATTTAAATCCCATTTTCCTTCTACACCCAACAAAAATTCCCCCTGCAACAAAAAGCTCTCAAATTTCCCCAGCTAGAATTCATAATTTATTTAGTCTAATTGAATACCAGATTGAATAAGAGACCATTGAGGGAGGGAGGGCTCTGAGCCCTGTTCCCTGGATCATATTAAGTATGGGACCTGGAGAAATGCTCCCTAGCCTTTCTTGCCTCATGGTGGCTTTCACTGCCCTGAAGAAGCCTTGTGGGCTCCCTGGTGATGTGGACGGAAACACTGTATGCCACATCTGGCCATTTAGAGGACTGGAGCGTTGCATTCACCAACGGGGCAGAGCTTGCCCTAGCCTTTCTTGCCTCATGGTGGCTTTCACTGCCCTGAAGAAGCCTTGTGGGCTCCCTGGGGATGTGGACGGAAACACTGTATGCCACATCTGGCCATTTAGAGGACTGGAGCGTTGCATTCACCAACGGGGCAGAGCTTGTCTGGCCCCTGTGTAGATGAGGACTTGCGGGCACAACTTATAACTGACAAGTATCCAGGACTCCACACCGTGCATCTCTCTGCTCCCTTCCCCTGGGTAGCATTCATTGCCCCAGGCCCAGGTGCAGTTTGCTCCTCAGAAGCACCGATCCCTGGTGCTTCTGGAGCTGAGAGATGGCTAAGGAGTGACAGTGACATTTCAAAGCCCAGAATCTGTGTGGTAAACACTCTGTTGTGGCTGAGCTGACAGAGAGCTAACCAGTGCAAACCTGTGGAGATTTAAAATGAAGCAATGAAGTAAGGATGGCAAGACAACAATGTTTTATTAAAACTACCCTGAACTTATTGGTTCTATGTAAACATGATTTTGAAAAGCCAATTAAATTCCTAAGAAAAAAGAATATTAGATCAGTTTATTTTCAAACCTCATTTTAATGACTATTTACAATATTTTTATTTCTGCAGATAGGTGCATTTCTTAGAGAAAAGATTACATGAGACTGTTTTCTAGGTGAAATAGTGGAGCAAAACTACCCGTGCAAGGTTTAAAGTATGGCCGTAAAGACTGGAATCCCCCCTGGTGTGCTTAAAGTACAGGCACACCTCGTTTTATTGTGCTTTGCTTTACTGTGCTTAGAAGATATTGTGCTTTTTACAAATTGAAGGTTTGTGGCAACCCTGCTTTGAGCATGTGGTTTCTTGAGGTGGAATCTACTCCTGGTGAAGATGCTGTGAACACTGTGGAAATGACAACTGAAGGATTTAGAATATGACATAAACTTAGATGATAAAGCGGTAGCAGGGTTTGAAAGGATTGACTCCAATTTTGAACAGTTCTACTGTGGATAAAATGCTAACAAACAGCATTGCAGGTTACAGAGAAATCTTTTGTGAAAGGAAGAATCAATCAATGTGGCAAACTTCATTGCTGTCTCATTTTAAGAAATTGCCACTGCCACCCCTTCAGCAACCATCACCCTGATCAGTCAGCAGCCATCAACATCGAGGCAAGACCTTCCACCAGCAAAAAGATTACCACTTGTTGAAGGCTCAGATGATTGTTAGCATTTTTTAGCAATAAAATATTTTTAAATTAAGGTACGTACATTGTATTTTTAGACATAATGCTATTGCATACTTAATAGTTTATAGTATAGTATAAACAGCTTCTATATGCACTGGGAAACCAAAAAATTTGTGTGACTCGCATTATTGCACTGTTTACTTTATTGTGGTGGTCTGCAACTGACCCCACAATATCTCCAGAATATGCCTGTATTTGGATATCAAAATCAGAAGATAATTATATGGAAATAAAGTATGATGCATGGAGCTTTGATATTAAGTAAGCTCATCTTTAGAGACATTCGGGATAATAACCTGGACCCCATTTAGAGAGGAGAGACTTGGCTAATAACTCCCACTGAGCACTGGGAAAGGATTTGCAGGTAAATCCCCTCACAGTGGGGAAACAGTGTGAGAGGTATTTGGCATGGTAAAGGGGCTTGGGGACTTGCATTGACTTCTAGCAGAGTGATCTCAATGCTCTGCATCCTCTTGCATCAACAAAACAGGAAGCTCAGCCAACATTTGCCTGCTTTTCAGTCTCATCTGGATTGTTCCGCAGCCTCAGCTTTGTTTCCAGTCTCTGCTTCCATTCTTCTCTGAGCCTGAAATAGAAACAAAACACGCGCAGATGGAGCATTTGTCTCCATGGCTGTTGGTTCAGGGAAGCTTCCTTCCTTTTTTTTTTTCTTTTGAAATTGTGTGTGTGTGTGCGCGCGCTCAGGTTTTAAAGGGCATGCAGAAGACTTAAAAGTTTAAATTTATGTATATTTATTTATTCATATAAGTGAGAGTGAACAAACTCATTTTTGTTCAAAGTATTCTCCAATTTTTGTGGGGTTTTTTTTGGTGGCTGTCGTGTGCAGGATGCAAACCCTTGACCCCGCCCTCTAACCAGCTGAGCTAGCTGGCCAGCCTCTGTTCAAGGGATTCTAATCTTAATCCTCTGAAGTTTCCTATGAAGGTGCAATATCTTTAAAGTCAGGGGGATAAATCTTTCAGTCTAGAATTCTTTACATGGCAAAGCTATCTTTGAAAAACAGAGGTGAAATAAAGATGTTACACAAAAACTGAAAGAAATCATCACCTGCATACTGTTGCTACATACATGTTAAAGGAAGTCCTTTAAGCAGAAAAAAAATAACACCAGATAAAAATCTGGATCTACACAATGGAATAAAGTGCACCTGAAAAGCAACTATGGGCATATATTAATAATTCTTTTCCTACTATTTAAATATCTTTAAAAGATAATCAACTGTTGAAAGCAAAACTGTTAATGATGCATTGTGGGGGTTATAACACATGTGGAAGTACAATAGCACAAGAACCAGGGGGAGGGAAGAAATGGGAATATGTCATTGTAAGGTTCTTACGCTACACAAGAAATGATAAAATATCTCCTGAAGGTAGACTGTGATAAGTTAAGGATGTATCCTATTTATCTTTAAGCAACCACCAAAATAACACAAAGAGCTATGGTTAAAAAGCCAACAGAAGAGAGAAAACGTTATCATAAAAAATACTTGGTTGATCCAAAAGAAGACAAAAATGAGAGAGAATTAAAGAACAGATGAGAGAAATAGACAAAGTTTGGTTTAAATCTAGATGGTAGATTTAAACCAAGCTGTACCAATTAATGTTAATGGTATAAACAATCCAACTAAAATACAAAGATTATCAAATTAGTTAAAAAAGCAATATCTAAATATATGCCACCTACAAGAATACTTTAAATAGGAAGACACAAATAGGTTAAAAGTAAAAGGATGGAAAAATATTCCATGTTAATCCTAATCAAAGAAAGCTGGAGTGGTTATATTTATATCAGACGAAGTAGAGTTCATAACAGAATATTACCAAAGAGAAAGAGGGTCATTTTGTAATAAAAAGATCAATTCATGAAGAGGATATAACAATCCTAAACATTTAGGTACCTACTACCAGAGTTTCAAAACACATGAAGCAAAATATAATAAAACTGCAAGGAGAAATAGACAATTGTACAATCTGCAATTATAGTCAGAGATTTCAATACCCATCTTTCAACAGTCAGTAAAACAAGTAGATAAGAAATGAGTAAGGACCTAGAACTGTTGAACAACACTTGTCAACCAACTTGACATAACTGGCATTTATAGAGCATTCCCCGCAACAAAAGCAGAACACACATTCTTTTCAAATGTACATGGAATATTTACCAATATAGAAAATATTCTGGGCCATAAAACAAGTCCCAATAAATTTAAAAGGATTTGATTCATACAAAGTATGTTCTCAGACCGCAATAATTAAGTTAGAATCAATAATAAAAGGGTGTTTGAAAAATCCCCTAAGTATTTTGAAACTAAATAACACAATTCTAACTAACCCATAAATCAAAGAAACATCAAAAATTAAAATTTTATTACATGGAGGAGGCCCAAAAACTAACTAACCCATAAATCAAAGAAACATCAAAAATTAAAATTTTATTACATGGAGGAGGCCCAAAAAAAAAAAAAGAAATTGAAATTTAAAAAATTAATTATAACATCAAAATATGAAATAGGGGCCGGCCCGGTGGCGCACTGGATAGTGCGCCATTTGGGAAGCGCGGAGGCGCTCCCGCCTGAGGGTTCGGATCCCACATACGGACTGGTTCCCGCTCACTGGCTGAGCGAGGCGCGGGAGCAACACCGAGGGTTGCAATCCTGTTACCGGTCCCTGGTCCAGTACGGGGGCAACACTGAGGGTTGCGATCCGTTGCCGGACACGGAAAAAGACAAAGACAAAAAAAAAAAAAAATATGAAATAGGAATAAATCTGACAAAAGAAGTATATGACCTGTATCTGAAAACTGCAAACCATTGTTAAGAGATATTAAAGTAGACCTCAATAAAGGGAGAAATATATTGTGTTCTTATATCAGAGACTCTAAATATTGTTAGGATGTCAATTCTCCTGAAATTAATCTATAGATTTAATTCCATCCATCAAACCTAGCAGGCTTTTTTTGTTTGTTTGCTTTTTTGGTGGCTGGCTGGTACAGGAATCCAAACCCATGACCTTGGTTCTATAGGGCTGCGCTCTAACCAACTGAACTACCCAGCTAGCCCATGCTTTTTTAAAATAATAGAAATTGATAAGCTGATACTAAAATTTGTATGGAAATGCAAAGGATCTAAAATAGCCAAAACAACATAGAAAAAGAATAAAAAGTTGTAAGACTTACACTACCTGACTTCAAGAATTATTACAAAGCTAAGTAATCAAGACCGTGACATTGGCGTCAATAGACAAATAGATCAATGGAACAGAATAGAGAGTCCAAAAATATACTACATATATGTAAGTAATTGATTTTCAACAAAAGTACAAAGTCAATGCAATGGAGAAAGGATAATCTTTTCAACAAATGGTATTGGAAACACTGGATATCTATGCATAAAAAAGTGAGCTTCAATCCATATACCTCGCATTATATCAAAAAATTAAGTCAAGATGGATTATTAACCTAAATGTAAAACTTAAAACCACAATGTTTCTAGAAATAAAACATAGAAGATAATCTTTGAGACCTTGGGATAGGCAAAGATTTTTTAGATACACCAAAAGCAAAATCTATAAAAGAATTTTTTTCTTGAATAAATTAGACTTGATCAAAATTGGGAACTTCTCTGCAAAAGAATGAACCCAAAGAAAGTAAAAAGAAGACAGTGATAAAGGTAAGAGAGGAAACTAGTGAAATACTCCTTATTTTGTTAAGAAGATATGGATATCAATCCAAAAAGTAAGAAAAAAATAAGGAATAGAGAAAGAGGGAAATAAGCCAAATACTCTAAGTAACTAAGATGGTGTGAACAAGTCAAGTTTAATAAATGTAAAAGGACTAAACTCACCAATTAATGACTAAAATACGAGTGTCAGATTGGAAAACCATTCAATCCAACTGTGTATTGTTTAAAAAATACATACCTAAATTGCAAAGATAGAGATAAGTTGAAAATAAAAAGATGAAAAAAAGATATACAAGTATAAGCAAATCCTAATGAAAAGAAAGTTGATGTGGTTATATTAATAGCTAATAAAAAGACTTTAAAATAAAAAAGCAACATCAGGGATAAAGAAAGTCACTGCCAAATAATAAAAAAGATTCACTTCACCATGAAGATATGCTTCTAAATATGTATTCACCTAATAAAATAGCCTAAAAATATATAAAGAAAAAATTGATGGAACTACTTGGATTGTGAAAAGGTGGTGAGGAGGAAAGGAAATTGTACTTTTTCTTTTTTTTTCTTTTCACTTTGCCTGCTTAGAGTCCTGGCTCCGAGTAAGCAGGCAGCAAAGACAAGCGACAATTCCGTGGTTCTCCTGAATCCAGCCAATCATGCATTTCTTGAGCACCAGCACTATAGTAGGGACTTTGGGGAGTACAGAAGAAATACATAAAAATGGCTGTTCCTCTGTTCCACAAAGACGTCAAGCTCTTCCCCTGCCTCAGGTCATTTGCACATGCCATTTCTTCTACCTAGAATGCTCTTCTCCATTGTCCCCCATTTGCCCAACTCTCCCTTCCCTGAAAGATGTCAAGTGGGAGTGTAGTGCTAGATACCCGGGGAGCAGGACCTCAGAGCATGGGCTGGCAACTCTAGCATGGCAGCACGTCTGCACACCAGCTCTGCAAACAGCTGCGCCCTGCGGGGCTGCAGAAAGTAACACTTGAAAGTGAGCTGAGATGCCGGTACCGTTCAAGCTTTATTAAAAGAAAAGAATCTGCTGGGCTGCGCTCAAAGTGGGGAGCAGCCTGGGGCTGCCCTGAAAATGGAGGGCAGCAGCTAACCTAGAGTGGTAGGAACTTATATTGGTATGTTGGCACCAAGAGCTGGGTGATGTAATTCCAGGATGGGGACTGAGTTAGGTCATGGGGATGGAGAGTTCTGCGCATGTGGAAACGCCGAAAGTTTCATTTTCTCCGAAAACCACGAGGCTTCTTGTAAAAGAGAATGGGGGAGGGGAGGGGAGGAGGTGGACGGTGCCATTTTTTACTTGGGCTTGTCTTAGATGGCGCTGGTTATGTTGCAGATCTGTTAACACTGAGACCTGCAGTGGGCAGATGGGAGTCCACAGCATCTGTGTCGGCCCCTGACCAGTTCCAAAGTGGGGGATCTCTGTACACTGTCTTAGATGGCGCTGGTTATGTTGCAGATCTGTTAACACTGAGACCTGCAGTGGGCAGATGAGAGTACACAGCATCTGTGTCGGCCCCTGACCAGTTCCAAAGTGGGGGATCTCTGTACACACACCTGTGCACATCAGTAGCTGGGATGTTTCATCTACTAATGAGCGGAAAAGATCAAGGGCACACTCCCTCTGCTCCACACTATAAAAGTAACTCCCCAGCATCCCTCCTACTTCTCTTAGCATCTGTTTCTCTATGATGAAAATACCAATGAGCAAACTGAGACAGAGGGAGATTTGGTAGCTCACCCCGGAGACCTAACGGGCTGAATGCAGGCAGCCTGGCTGCAGAGGGCCTCTGGTGTTAACTGCAGTCCCATGTTTGCCCTGTCCTCTCTTGCCACTTTCTTTTCGTCTTTTTTTCTCGTCCAGGCGATGTCTTCCTTTGGCATCTTGTTGCTGCTATATTTGATCCTGGATTAAATGGAGTGCAGAAGAGGGAGGGAGACTGACATTCCTGAGCTCTGACCTTGTGCCAGACACCATGCTGGGTGCTGTAGGTACCTTTTCATATTCAAGCCTCCTAACAACTTAATCATCTGGGACCATCTTTTCCATTTTGTGAAGGGAGAACATGAGTAGTGGTTGGAGCAGAGACCCTGTGGAGCTGGGCTACTGGATTCAATTCACAAGAGCGGGGAGGAGGGTACATAAGTTAGTCTTCTGCCATCCCACCAACCAGAAAGTTTGTTTCCTTGCAGGCTTTTGTTATATGCATAGACAGGTACTGCACATCTACATTTTCAATGTTTTGACAACTGCATGATTTGTTTCGGACCCTGTTTTGTTCACCCCAAGCTTGTGCCTCGCTTGGAGCCTTTGGTTTCTCAGTCTTCCTCAGGCCAGTTTCACTGCACCTGAGGCCTTTCGCTCACTCTCTGGGGGACACACCGTGGATCAGGACCCACTGTGGCCTCGGCACGCAGCCTGCTGAGTGACCTGGCTGGGTGGAAGGAAGATGGCGAGGATGGCAGAAACTCAGCTTCTCTGGGAATCCCTGACAAGACGCCCCAACACTACACTTCAGTGGGCCTATGTGTGGAAGAGGCTGGTTCCCTTGTAGGGCACGGGACGGGGTTTTGGAAGGAAGCAGTGAACTAATGCATCCCCTCCAGCAACCGTGGAATCACCAGCCCTGCCATATGGCCAGCACACCCTGCCCCCCACTCCCTTGCTGCACACCAGCTGTGGCCTTAGTGAACAGACAGCCGGCTGTCCCTCACTGTGTGGTGAGGGACAGCCGCAGCATGTATGCGAGAACAGTGAGCTGGCACTGTTTCTGCAGTGATGTGACCCTTGTCTGCTCATGTGAGTGACTGCTGTCACTATCCCCGCCAGAACAAGGATGCACACCTGAGGGCAGGGACCCACCAGCTCGCCTCCAGGAACCACGCAGGGCACTCTGAGTCTCCACCCAAACCAGCATCGGTCACTGTTCCCTCTGCTTGATTGCTTTACACAGATGCATTTTTTGTCCCCCCCGCCCCCATTTAGTGTAATCCTCATGTGCTAGAACTGGTGACAGAGAGGTTTTTTCAGTTTATAAAGGTAAGAATTACGTCCTCTAAGATGCCCATCTGGCATTCTTCTGGGGAAATCAATTATGTTTTTACAAAATAAATAAACGAGGTGATAGTGATCTGTCAGTGAAGGTTCATGGACTGTCACATGCACCACTCTGGGGCAAGGTGTTGATGGTGGGGTGACCGAGTGTGGGGTGGGGCAAGGGGCATATAGGACCTATTTGTACCTTCTGCTTAAATTTGCTGTGAACCTAAAACTGCTCTAAAAAATAAAGTCAACTTTAAAAAGTGAATTAATTGAAAAACAAACAAACAAACAAACAAACCCGGGATAAGCCACATACTTTCTCAGCGCACTTCTCCCCAGACGGTATTCCTCCGACTCTCGGTAGTAGGTCTGTTTGCCAATTTCCCTTTCCCAGAAGCGTTTGAGCTCGTGACAGGTGTTCCGGCAGAAGACCTCCCGGCGGGCGTACTGACTGTTCATCCCTGGAAAAGAAGGCAGCCGCCGGACTGCGTGAAACACCATCCCTCAGACTCTGCGGGGTGCAGGTGTCCGTCTGAATCCAGACCCCGTGTGTACATGAGGGGCACCCTAGCCAGCCACAGAACCCGTGTGAGTGGGACAATAGTTACCTCACTGGTCGCCGCTCTCGCGCTCGGCACAGTGAGACGTGCGCGCGGAAGGTCCCACGTGGAGGGTGGCAGGCCCCAGCACAGGCATGCGCGGACCCCAGGTAGCTACAGCGAGTACCCCTGTCCGTCCTTCCGCCTCGCAGAATGATTTATCAGCTCTGATCATGTTACAGGTGAGACATTCGAGGAGTTACAGAACTTGCCTGTGGTCCCACAACGATAACTGGTGAGGGCAGGTTTTGTGCTTCTGAAAGTTTTGCCAAAGGGGTGTGTTACAGGAAGGGGTTCCAATGTCTGAAACACCCGCAGCAAGCTGCTCTGAGGGGCGTGCATGTGTGTTGTGTGTGTATGTGTGCGCGCACATGCGGGCACTAGTGTGTGGAATTACACATGTCAGACACTCAAAATGCTCACTTTTTTACATGAAAACCTCTGCCTAACGCCCAGACCTCAGTGGCCCCAGCAACAGGTCAAAAGCAGGGGCTGCTGATGCTCCTGTCTGCTAGGGGTAGGGGGGACCCCTGCAGAAGAGTGTGGGGAGAGGGGGGCTAGAGAAGTGGGCATGGCTTGCTGCAGAGAGGGTGTGGACCTGTTCCCAAGGGCAACAGGAAGAAGGGCTTTCTGTGGGGAGCAGTGGGTCCACACTCGCAATTTACAAGATGTTCTGGGGGATTAGACTGGAGGGGAGTGGAGGCAGGGAGGGGCGTTACTGGGCTGCTGGAGGAGCCCAGGGAGAAGCTATGACCGGGCTGAGAGGGGCAGGGATGATGAAGAGTGGGTGGATCTGCAAGGGGTTCTGGAGGTGTCAACTCCATGTGGTCATGAAGGGGAGGGTGTCAGTGGGGACTCTCCTGGCCGTGCCTGTGCACAGATGGGAGACTCCAGGGGAGGAGGGCTGTGGGGAGCAACCTCAGGTGGGACGGAGTGTGAGTTGCCTGGGTGCCGACAGCCAAAGGGAGGCCCACCTGGACACGTGGGTCTGGACTCAGCATAAGGTCTGGGCCACGGCTGTCTCAGAGAGAGTGACTGGGTCAGTGGGACTGCATGGAAGGAGAAAGGGTTTGGAGCCAGACGTTTACTAGATCTGTGTTTCCACTGACTGCCTCCGCTTGTCACATAAATTCTCCTGGCCTCAGTTTCCTTATCTTCAAAATTTCTCTGAAGATCAAATTCAATCACAAATGTGAGATGTTTTGCAATTTATGAATTTCTGAGTAAATATCACTGAGGAGCTCAGTGATGGCCCTCTGATTTTCTGAGACTATTGTCTGGCATAGGGACATTATCAGCTGAAGCTAATAGAATGTCATCAACAGCCCTAAATAAGGGTCAATTTTCTTTGTTTATGCGTAATGTTGAGTGTTTGGTGTCTTGGGCATGTGCCTGAGATTCATGTATCTCTGACCCTGGTGTGCTGGCCACCGTGTAGGAATGCTTAGGTGACAGGGCAGAAGTCTGTTCTTAGGTTGAACATTGTCCCATGCAAGACCATGCCCACAGGAGCATTTGGGAAGAGCTTTTGTCCTATGTCCTTGCAGAGATGAGCTTCATCATGCCCACTCATAGGGAGGCACCCACATGCGCAAGAAGGAAGAACTGTGCTTTCCCACAGAGTTCCCGCTGGGGTGAAGATAGGCATCCGCCTCCACTTCCATCTCCACCACGTTATTTTACCACCCAACCAGCTGCTTTGCTGGAAAATGCTGGTGAAAACAAATAAAATCTTCTCTCAGGAAAAAATTCATTTAACTTTTAGACAAAATACATTGTCTTCTTAGTCATCACTATGAGCAGAACTGTAGAGGCTGAGATCACCAATTTTGTAGCTTCAAGGAAACAAAATTAATGACAACTTCAGAAATATACTTTTAGGAAAATATACAAATAAGGCAGAAAGAGGGAATTGAAGATATCGAATACCCTTATTTCCCCTCAACCCCAAGGGCTGACCCTGGGATAAGACAGGGTCCTCCCTCAGTGACTTCCAAAATATACAAATAAGGCAGAAAGAGGGAATTGAAGATATCGAATACCCTTATTTCCCCTCACCCCCAAGGGCTGACCCTGGGATAAGACAGGGTCCCCCCTCAGTGACTTCAGGGTCCTCCCTCAGTGACTTCCGGTGTAACAGGGAGTGAGGTGAATACAGACTCTCATCACAGGCACTGGCACCTCATGTGACAGGCACTGGAAAGGTGAGCACCCTGACCTGGTCTGAGGGATGTGGGGTGCTTCCTAGGGGAAGGGGCATGCAGGTTATTCCTACATGTGGGTAGGAATGACCAGGGTGTGGGAAGTGGATGGTGCAGAGTCCTGCAGAACCAGAGCGACCGAAGCACATGGGAGCTGGCCTGGGGTCAGGATGGGGGAGGGGGACTGACTGCAAAGGGGTCTGGGTGACTTCTCAGGGTCATGAAAATGTTCTCTATCTTGTTTATAGTGGTGGTTAAAGAGCACTTAAAACAGGTGAATTTCGTTACATACAAGTTGTGCTTCAGTAAAGGTAGGAAGAAGTTTCTTCTGTCTTTGGACTAGAGATTCATCCAAGTTCCCTGGCTCTAACCTACTGGGAGACTCTGTTACCATCTTATCATTAGGGGTAAGGCCATTCCTTCACAGGTACTATATGTTTTTATGAAGTATTTGGCTTCTGAAATGAGGAGCACTGCTCCCCCTGCAGAAGTGTGACGAGGAGACTATCAGCAGTTGCAAAGCCCTTTGGAAATCCAAGGGACTGTTCTTGATAAATAGCTCCATTCCTCTGTATCTCCCCAGCCAAAACCACTCAGTCTGGCAGCTGACAGTACTACCACTTCTGGTCAATCACCACCGACATGGAAAAGCTATAACCTCAATGGCAATTATGAGTTTCACTTTACAAACTTAATTAGTTAAATAATTAACTAAAGAGAGCTTAAAAAGAACTACAGCCTGAAGGGGTATGAAGACATCAATTCAGCTGAATAAAGTTTGTTGAACTTTTACCATCTGTGAGGCATCTATGCTGCACAAGGGACCAGCTAATGTTAGTGAACCCACTGAAACAAAGGAGCGTTTGTCGCTCCTGAGCCTCAGTGCTGTGCCAACGATTTAATGTCTCAAGTCTCAAGTTACTCAGAGTATTAAACTCAAATTGAGGGATCTGAGAGTTGTTTTTTTAAGAAGAGTTTTGGCTTATACTGATCATTCTTATGGCTCTTGGCTGGAGTGGTTCTTTATATACCAGCTGCCTGTGCATACTGCCAGTGTACTTCTCGCATATCTAGCACCTCATAAGAGCAACTATGTTGTGATTATTTTTAACATTTTAAAAGTATGTTTAGGGCTGGCTGGTTAGTTCAGTTGGCTAGAGCACCATGTTATAACACTAATGTCAAAGGTTCAGATCCTGTACTGGCCAGCTGCTAAAAAAAAAAATATGTTTGATCACTTTAAAATTTTTTCCTCATGATTATGGTTTGAAATAGAACAGAAGGGTTCCGGTTCCAGTTAAAATGGAGGAAGCACACTCCACCTTATCTCTGCAAAGAATGCAGCTCCAAAACTTGAACAGAATGCATGATGTAGCTATGTAAGGGCTTTGAAAAGTAAATAGTACTGGGTTGATTGGGGAAGACTAGAATTCCAATTACCATTAAAGGGCACTAAATTTTCAGGCCAGCCCGTGGCTCACTTGGGAGAGTGCGGTGCTGACAACACCAAGCCAAGGGTTAAGATCCCCACACCAGTCATCTTTAAAAAAAAAAAAAAAAAATGGTGCTAAATTTTCCGTTTTTCTGGTATCCCCAGTTTAGACAGAAGGCAACCCAAACTCCAGAAGTGGGACATGGACAGAGAGAGCTCCAAAAAACCCTCTGATTCTAGGGAGAAAGTAGACTCCTAATGCTCAGAGAATGGGGGAAATCACGTGTTTTTCCAGGAGAACGGGGGTGGGGTGGGGGGGTGAGTGAGGCAAGGCAACAGCAATAGAATTGAATGACTGCCAGGCCCGCAAAGACACAACACCCTGAGGACAGAGAAACTTGTTCTCTCTTATAGGAGCTTTGGTCTTAATGGGGTGGAGCTAACCCTTGGGGCTTTTTTCTCTCTGTTCTCTTTGCACTTGGCCCAGATGTAAATACAGCCACAGGAAGTGCTCAGCAGAGCTGGGTAACTAGATTTCTGGCCAAAAGACTGAAAAGGGGAGTCCAGAGAATTGGAAAGTACCAGGAATATCACAGAGATGGGTGGACTTCAGGAAAAAGACTCCTTCAAAATTGCTCATGAGTTCTGAGCTGTGCATGCATGGATCTGATCCCAACCAGTGTACCAAAGACTTTTAGAACAGAATTGAGGAACAGGCACCATTGGTTCTGGAATGGCCCTGTGAGGCACACACACACATACATGAATGGCACTGCAAAGTCTTTCTATTTTTTTGGTTACTGGTTAGTATGGGGATCCAAACCTGTTACCTTGGTGCTATAAAGCTGTTCTCTAACCAACTGAGCTAACCGGCCAACCCTGCAAAGCCTTTCTAAACAAAACTGACTTTGAAACCTCAGCTCACAGAAGGGTGGTTGGAACTTGAGGCCTGAACTTAACCACATGGATTGCCTACTAAAACAAAAATATCAACATTTTCCAAAGGATGTCGACAAGGCCCCAGCTGTAATAACGTAATATTCAAAATGTCCAGGCTAGAACTCACAATTACCCAGCACATGAAGAGCAAAGAAAATCTCAGCCAGCATGGGGAAAAGCAATTGACAGATGTCAGTGCAGAAATCATACAGATGTTGCCATTAGCTGACAAAAACTGAAAACAGCTATTATAAAAATGCTCTAAGAAATAATTACAAACACTCTTAACGTAAATGGAAAAAGGGCAAGTCTCAGCAAAGAAACAGAAATATAAAGAAGAACCAAATAGGAATTTTAGAACTAAAAAATTCACTAAATAAAAATTTTTAAAAATCTCAGTAGATGAGACCATAGCAGAATGGAGATGATGGAGGAAAAGAACTATCAATAGAAACGATCCAATCGGAATTACTTTTTTATATACATATATAGACC